GATTTCTTCCGCCGCTTTGATTTTATGGCTATTTGAAGTCGCTTTATAAAGTCGCAAAAGAAAACGACGCAGTTAAACGAGCAAGCAGCCAAAGGGATGAAAACTATGTAAGTCCTCGCCAACATGCGGTATTCTAGCAACCACACACATCTACGCACCTTTGTGCATCGAAAAGGGGTGGCTCAATGTTGAAAAACCCTTTGGACTTTGAAGTAAAGAGGAATGAGAAACACGGGTATAACGAAGGGTATTTAAACAACGTCGCTTTCGTTTAGGTATATCTCAGACTCGGATTTATACAACACCCTTTATTTATTTTTTTTTAACAAGAAAGATATTTGATTATTATACATTAAATTGTTAAAATATTGTTGTAGATAATTATCACGATGTGAAAGACGCGTTATTATTTCATCGTGCAAACTTTAGCATTTTATGACATATTATAATATATAAATAAATAGATGTATTAATTTAATTTATAGATATTTAATTTATATTCCTGCCCCTTCTTATTTTATTCGATACAATTTATGTTAACATGGATGATTAGGATGTTTAGGATGTGTTAACACGAGTGTTTAGGATTTTTTAGAAAATGAAAAAAAAATAAAAGAATGTCATATAATGTCTCGTATTTCGATATAAAGTGTATTATTTAAATGATCGTTAAGCAATATAAGTTTTATACATATAAATGAAAATTAGATATATTTAATTTTATTTTTTTATACTTTTGCTTCTTTATATTGGGTACGTTAGGTTGTTGAAGAATGTGCAAATATAATCTCAAAGTTGTGATAATATTTATTTGCGATGATAGAAACATAACATTGGGTTAGTATTTTTTTTAAGTTACAACGTTCAATTATGCTAATTACTTTGTACTGTTTTAATTGCTTAAACCAATTGCTCGATTTATCCCTGAGGAAAGTGCTGTCTCCCTTAATCTTGACAAGCTCAGTAGCACGTGTCCTTACAACCCCTTTTCAACGTTGAATATCTCACATTTCATTGCCCGAGATGTGGAGAGAGTGTACGTGGAAGCTCTTCGTTTTCCGTACTGGAATTCGCATAAGAAATAGAAGAAATGGGTATAATTCTTATTATACACTGTATAGTATACGATTACGAGTCATTATTGTGTGGCATAATTTTGTACGCCGACTTCCGCTTAACATTTGTCGTTGGAGAGGAAAGAGGGGGTGTTACATGCCGCCACGTGCGCGTCCCGCTTCTCTTATTAAAGCTCACCCTCCTTACTCCATACGCACACACACACACAGCGTTTGTAAACGCTTCTTCGGAGTTTACACAGGCCGCACGTGCCCCGTAAGCCTTTCGCCGTTTACGCGTATAACGGATGTTCGTCACACAAAACTTCGCAATGTTGTCACCAAGAATTTAATTCCATCGAAATTTCCGCAACCATGTGTTGGTCGAAGAAAGTGAATATTTCATCGCAATCGATGTTTCAATTTTAAAGTCCTTTGCGCTTCGAAAAGTGATTTATAGGATGAAATTAAATGTAATTAATCATAGTCAAGGATAAATATAGAATAAATACAAAATCCAGGAATTATATATTATCGAATCTGTTTAAAGAAATTTATTCTCTTGCGTATACACAACAGGGACTCTCTAGATGCAAACACGAACGTTAAAATAGAATCGTTCTCATCGTATTAGGAAACATTGGCTCCTGGATACTTGGCGTGTTAAACCGCCTACGCGAGAATGTTCTCCCTACAATTTTTCGACGACGTAACGAAAACAGACGGGTTCTGTTTCGTGCCAGAGACCGATTTCACGTGTGTCGGATGGCGAGTGTCGCGTATGGATCCCTCATACTCTTGAGAGGGAGTATAAATAGACGTCATACGCAAATATCGCGGTCGTTGCTACCGGGACATGTTGCGAAAGCAAGTTGAAAGCAACTTTAATTTGCAAAAATTTAATCTATATTCGGCAACGCCTTGACTTTATGTGTTTCTATGATTGCACAAATCGGTTCGTAAATTCTCTGTTTTCCACTTCCACCTATTCTCTAAAAATAACTACGAAAGACAAACTAAAAAGCATAAAATAAAGAAAAAAGATACAAAAATTATGTATAAATATATATATTCCTAGATTTATATTATTATTCTATCGTTAATAGTCAAGTTTTAAATATCTGATTTACGTTAAATTAAAACTCCCCTACTTTATTATTACATTCATTCCTGTGACAGACACATAAAACAAACTAGGAAAATTGTAAATATTTCTCAATTTATCCATAAAAGTCTTTGATTTTTCTTTATATAAAAGCATATAAAATATAATTTTTATAACGAATTATGTTACATCTTCTATAATATAAAATACACGGTCTATCCCAAAAGTTTCCGAACTTTTTTCGTACAGACGATATTAGTAGCGTTATCTGTTTAATCAAGATCACGCTGTCTCCGTACAAGCTTCGTTAAAAATTGTAGCAAGTTTAATCGAGATCCCATTAACAGCTGATTTACCATAGGAGCAGAAGTGAAGTTATCTGTCTCCTGAGCCATACACGCCCCTTACCACTTTATTTTTTTGTTCGCTCATCTTGATTCCATTCGGAATCTTACAATATAAAAATATGTGAAATTAAAAGAGAGAGAAAAATAAGTATAATGTAAAAATATAAGACGAATTTAAAACAGTATTATGAATTGAATTCAACAGAATATTCTTTATTCTTTATTCCATATCAAGGCACTGATAAGACTTGTAACAATAAGAAGAAATTGAAAATTCAAAAATCTATAGCTTATTTACTAAGACCATTGAACACACATTTAAAATTAAAAGAAACTGTGAAAATATACTACTCCATCGATTTTATTTGCGGAGAAAAAGAACTTAAAATCGTAAATCGATTAAACAATTTTTGGTTGAAAAGAATGAGACGGAGCATTCCGTATATAACTTGTCGCTTGGCTCGAGCATGGTGCCAAATCTACCAATCATAAATCTAGTTTTGTTTTATTTGTCTCGATGATAAAAACGAACGTAATAGTACAGCAAGTCATAAAGTTATTGTTCTGTCTTATTTATGGATTGATATTTTTTTTCAGAAAGATGTTATGTGAGGGTTTCTTATCAATAGGGATATATATCATATTAAACGTGCTCTTAGTTGCCGAAAAATAATAATTTTTCTGGAGTAACAAAAGTAGATATTTGAATAAAATATGAAGAAATTAGCCATCACATTGTAAAAAAAAAATATGTATAATGTCAACTTAAACCAATTGAAACCATAATTGAAACAATATTTTTGTATGATTTCACTATATATATTATTATTTATTCCGTTTAATTTAATGGATTGTTTACTTGCACTTTTCATTGTTATAAATATCTTGATTCGGCATTATTTCTATCGTCGTTTTTATTTTATCACTATTTCGACAATGTATTTCTGAGACTGAGAAAATACGGATTACAAAATGAGTAGACCAAGAAAAGACGTGGTTCTCACCGGTACCACGATGTTTGTACATCGGCACGTTATTGTTATGCGACGAACACTTTCCTGTCGAACCAATTGACATACCGTTTGCTTCCGGTCCTGTACTCTAAAGATCGATGGATCTACCGTTTATTAAAGTAGACGAATAATGAACAATAAGAGATAAAGAGAATAATGAATAAAACATAAATTCATTCGAATATCCGGAATAAAATATCAAATTAAAAAATTAAAAATTTTGATCTCGCATATTTATCGCAACTTTGATCATCGCAGCACGCGATTGTCACGGTTAAAAGTGGAGCGAAAGGAAATGCATATAGAAATAGGAATAAAAAAAAAAAAAAACACAAGAGATAAATTTGTACATCTGTTGTGTAGGCGGAAATTCTCGTAGGCTGTTATTCGAATGCGCGCGTGCGAAAACAAGCAGTTAACAAGCGAGTGGCCGGTCTCATGCGGTGATAAAATTCGCGAAATATTTATAGATCACAGCTGTGTGTGATCGCGGTGGATTCGATTCACGTCGCAAAGTGTGCCATTTTTTCAATTTAACGATACAAAAGTATTCTATTTCTTGATTACATGCAAATATTTTGCAACACTCTATTTTAAGATTTAGATCTTAAATTATTTATGACGTATCTATATCCGCATTCAGATTTTAATTAAGTTTTCCTTTTCTCATTAAGCGAATAATTTTTCAATAATTATGGTGTTATATATATATATATATATATATATATATATGTATGTATGTATGTATTTACGTATATTTCCCCTCATTCGTATATTCAACAGTTTTCTCTGTACTATTTTATACCGTATTTGCTCGCAATCACAATTCCATGTGTGCAGCTTAATAAAAGTTTTAAACCTTCCCCTCGGGAACCTGCACGGATTTTCGGTACCCCAAAGTCATTAAATGGAGCGTATAGGAAATATGGGGTACTATGCGAACAGCTGTGAAAATTGACTTTTCGTCCAAGTGTAAACGCTTGTTTGCTTCACGTTCCATCGTCGGATGTCTTGTTCCCGGTGCGAGCGGTCCCTGCGGTTTCAAGGGACGAGACCCTCGAGTTATCCGACACCCTTCTCGTCTTCCGCATCCGACCTTGTCCACTGCCATGCCCTTAAGTATATTTGCTCGGGATCTATGTACATGAACATCTTGTATATTGTCTACTTTAGACATTCTTTCAACCGATAAACTTTGGCGCGCGTTACCAAATTCTTCGATATTCAAATTTCTTCGTTACATCGTATTTTTCAATAAAGCTTATATAATATACATTTCCATCAAATTATTTCTAAAAAGACCGTATATCTCTCTCGACCGTTTCGAGTCAACAATTAAGGAGAGAATACGAACACTTTTATCGCGTATAATATACTATTCATGTCTGGAAAAGATTAAATATAAACTTTAAAGTAAGAAGAATATTCCAAAAACAATGCTTACCTCACCGATTCATCTTTTCCTCGTTTGAATTTTCATGCATTTCTTTCGTTTCGCAGATATCGCTATGGACTGGTCGGATCACGCACTTTGGTGGCCACAACGAAATCATTGGCTGACCAGAACGCGCAGCACGCTGGATCAGTACGGCGTAGCAGCGGATGCATCGCTGCATTTCACGCCGATGCATAAAACCCTAAGGGTGCAATTGCCGGATATGCGCTGCCTCGATTGCCGAGTCGATTTTTCAGTCAAGACGTTCAACGCGGTCATTAATTTGTGCAAGGAACTCGGTGAGTCGCAAATCTATTAATACTATTTAAGGAGAGTAATATATTGTAGAAACAAGCGTGACGTCAGTCTCATTCCGATCGCGTGCCTTCGTGCTAACGTCAATTGCGGGAAATAAATATTTTTTTTTAATTGATACGCGAAGATTTGATAAGAAAGTATAAATATCTGACGGGACAAATTTCACTTATATGTATACACTGCGCTCTTTTTATTTTTTAATAAGAACAAATGGACTTGGAATGATAAAAAAATCTGCAGTTTAAAGAAAATGTGTTTTTGGAAGTGTCGTACTTTTTGTATTTTGTATACTTAAAATACTCTATATACTTCAAAATAATATCGTGCAATACATTTTGCAACTGCCGCCTATGGCTACTCCTATAATTATCTGACAATGAGAGAATAATTTTGCATTATTTCATGTTTTTGATAACAAGGTGATTTAGCAAGACAGATTTTGAGAAAATTTTTCAAATTTTATTAAGTTTTTTCGTTTATTTTATTACAATAAATTAATTTTATTCATTAGTACATTATATACATTTGTATTATATTATTTTATATAAGCGATACGCATGTACATAATAAATAAATTGCAATAGTATTTTGCATATAAACAAGTCTATCATAATTCTTCTCTAAAGCGTATAACTGTATCAGCAGAAATATTATGCATGATAATATGAGAAATAGAAATGATGAATTTGCAGTCACGCGAAGGTTGCGTCACAAGCCATTGTGGCTGTCAATTCACCACCGCAACAAACTCCAAGCTAGCTTTTTAATCAAGGAAGTGGGTTAACGCGATAATTCGGTCGAGATGATAAAGCTGACTTTTGATTAGAAAAAAATGCTAAAAGAGATATATACGAGCTTATCTTGTTTTATAATGACCTAAAAGTAATTCTCAGAATTATACGCATTACAATGTCATCTGAAACAGAAAATAATCAACGACGAAATTTAACTTGACGAAATTGATGAATCTATTGTTTTTACATTTTTTAACATTAATTTAATCTTATTGTTAAATTATATCTTATTGTTAAAAAGTGGAAAGATTTAAAATAGGTGAGAAAAAAGAAAATCTTTACTAATATTTTCGACAATTTAAGAATTGGAATCGCACGCGAAGCAATGAAAAAAAAAAGAAGAACTAAATAAAATCTAAAATTGATATAACTGTTAAAACTGGATGAGAATTACCTAATTATTCGCCTATCGAATTCTATCATTTTTACACTTTTATCGGTACGGTGATTCTATTTAATAGACATCAACGATATGAGATCAGCGTGTATCATATTCATAAATAGACGCTAATACGCAAAGTATGCTGTTGCACGCGATCTTTGTCCATCAATTACTCGATTCCTTTATAAGAATACACATATGTACCGGAAAATGAATGCCATGACTGCGTGCATCATGTTAATTTGCCTTTCGTTTAGAAGCAAAACAACAATATGCATCTCTTTAATCTATCTAGATTAAATGCGAAATTAACACGCAGATTATTGCGCGAATGTTGCCGCAGGCATTAGACACCCAGAGGAGCTTTCGTTCTGCAAGCCGCTCGAACCGAATCACCTGAAATACAATCTAAAGGACTTGCCAGCCAAGAAGAAGATCGAGAATCAAAAGAACGGTCACTGGAACGTACCGGCCGACACGAATACCTTCATTCCAGTTAGCCAGAGTCCCAGAGGATCTACGGGAAGCTTAGATCAATCGAGTCCATTCATGTGCGCGCCAGTCACACCCAACAATAGAAATCACAGCACACCGATCAGCTCTCCTGTCACGGTAGGGGTTTACTTATATATGTATAGACATAACTGGACGAGAAAAGTTTTATTCCAGATAAATATTTATATAACGCAAATATTTTAAAAATGTTCGTTTTGTTTGAATGTATCATTCACAATTATAATAAATTCAATTATTATATTTTCAAATCGTTGCTAAACATTTATTTTATTTCGCGTCAATTTTTCTCTCTCAACTTGAACTTAACTTTTGTTGGAAAGAACTATCATTGCAGCTATTTATAGTTGTCGATATGTCATAAAAAGAGTTGATAGAGAAAACGCACGTATCGTCATGCAGATTTTGGTCCACAATTGCTTGACTTTGTCGCATTGCGATTATTTTCGCAACATTATAATAATATGGATTTTACATTTATAAATTCCCAGCATACCGGAACATGGAAGAGGAACAATAACTCTTCCGGTTTCGGTAGCACCGGCTCCTTCAACGCCAATAACAGCACTATGAGTCTCGAGGCATTAAACGGCGGATTGTCGGAGTCCTTGGCGCAGAGTCCAACGTCGATTTCGCTAGAAACGCGAACAAAATTGATTAGGCCAAAAAGTCTGATCGAAAGGGCAAGAATGAACGTCGCCTGGCTGGATTCCTCTCTATCGATTATGGAGCAGGGTATCCGCGAATTTGACACGCTTAGGCTAAAGTTTAAATTCTACTCCTTCTATGACCTGAATCCAAAAACCGACGCGGTCCGCATCAACATGATTTACGAGCAAGCCAAGTGGCAATTGCTCGCAGAGGAGATTGATTGCACCGAGGAAGAAATGCTAATGTTTGCAGCACTTCAGGTATTTGCAAATAAATGATTATATATATAGTTAGCAAAAAAATTAGTACAACTCCAAGATGAATATTTATCTAGTTATTCGAATAAAATTTTATTTCTTATTTGTTATTTTAATTATTCGTTAGTTGTGTTAGCCATTGTTTTTTATTTTTATTTCACTTTTACAATCCTACGACAAACTGTTTATGTGTGTTTTTACTCTCGCCTGCTCTCGATATATTTATTCCCATCGTTCCGAGAGAAGAACCCCACGCGATGCATAACGCATGCAAATAGCTCCGTCTTTAAGCCAACTGCTTTGCCAGCCGGTGTTCCGCCGTAATGTCGTCACGCGACAACATGACCAAGATGCAGTCATCTTTTGCCTCGACCCACAAAATATATCTTGTATATCTTATACACCTACATGCTTGTGGCGAGCATTGAAAGGGAAAAAAAATCTACAATCTCTCAATCGTATCACCTACAACTTTTCGCTCTGACGGTTGCAGGTACAAGTGAATCTTCAGGCGAGCGTACCGCAGCCCACGTACGATAGCAACGGGGGGACCTCACCCGTCGAAGATGACATTGACGCGGCTCTAACGGATCTGCAAGTGACTCTGGAGGGCAGCAATATCAGCAAGGGGCCCAGTGACATCACGCAGGTGCCCGAGCTCTGCGACGAGCTGCGTTTCTTCAAGCCAAAGCGTTTTACGCTAAAGGCTTTCAAACGTTATTGGTTCACGTGCCGTGATCTTCAGTTAAGACTCTACAAGAGTAGAGAGGAGGCGAACGGTTCAGAGTCACCGATTTACGTGATCAATTTGCGTGGTTGCGAGGTCACGCCGGATGTACATTTGTCGCAAGGACGCTACGGTATCAGATTGGAGGTGCCCAGCGCTGAAGGCATGACCGAGATGTGGATCAGATGCGATAACGTAAGCGGATTAACTCATATATCATTTCGTCAAGTTGCGACATTATTGATTTAATCATTTCTAAATGTATTATATATTAATGCTAAATTTCGCATCTATATGCATCAATATATACGACGAATAAAAAAGTTCTTATGAATAACTAGAGACGCAAATATTGTAATTGATGTTTCGGATTCACGTTCACATACTTAAAAACTCGACGATTCTTACATTTTTTATTTATTCCAGGAGCATCAATACGCAAAATGGATGGCTGCGTGCAGATTAGCGGCCAAGGGACGTACTCTCGCCGACGCGTCCTACGAAAGCGAGGTCAACAGTATCACAGCTTTTCTGCAACTGCAAAGGCCTGCACCCGCACCGGCCATCAATCCGAATTCTTTGGATATCATACCAGAGGACTACGTCGCATCTCGATTTGCGAAGAAATTCAAAGGAAAGGTAATAAAACACTTGCGCGTTCAAATCTATGTGAACAAGAGATCGACAAGTTACATTAACTTTTCTTTCACAGTTGGTTCAAAGAATCTTGGAAGCGCACGCAAACGTTAAAGACTTATCTCTTATCGAAGCAAAGCTGAATTACATTAAGGCCTGGCAATCCCTTCCGGAATACGGTATTTCGCTTTTTGTCGTGCGATTTACCGGCAAGAACAAAGACGAATTACTGGGTATTGCCAATAACAGACTAATGCGAATGGAGCTTCATAGTGGCGATCATCTGAAGACTTGGAGGTATAATACTATGAAGGTATGTACTTACATATATATATTTTTGCATTCTACGTATTTATATTGTATCTATATTGTTCGTATCGCTCTCCACTCTCCACAATTCGTATCCACTTTCGTGTATTCGTATGACATGAATGTCCCTTATATAGATTTACAAATCATATTGTTTAAGTTAGATGTTGTAGTAGATGTTGCTTTTTGGTAAAGATATGTTGAATGGAATGTTATATGATAAATAATCACTTTTCTTAATGTTTTCGCTAAAAATCAGAAAATTATTCAAAATTGACACAAAAAAGTCCGTTATTCAAAGGAAATACAATTTAAGGGCATCTGAGAGAAAATGCATGATTATTTATGATTTATGTTTCACAGGCGTGGAATGTTAACTGGGAAGTAAAACACATGATGGTACAATTCGAGGAAGAGAATATAATTTTCGAATGCCAGTCGGCAGACTGCAAAGTCGTTCACGAATTTATAGGAGGCTACATATTCTTGTCGATGCGCTCGAAGGAAGCGAATCAGACGTTGAATGAGGAGATGTTCCACAAGTTGACCGGTGGATGGGTTTAATCTAAAAATGTATATGAAAAAAAAAAAGAAAGAAATTGTAATAAGTTCTAACATATTCTAAAAACGATGATAAAATACATTTTGCTGGTTTATCAACATACGTCACGTTCTGTTCAACGTCTGCACGCTGGTTGACATTTGTAAAAATATTTAAATCTGATCGTAGTTATATATCACATATTTTAACGCTGTATGCTGTAAATAGAATATTATATCCCCTCTACGTTTTAGCGAGAGTTTTAACGATTATAGTTATTTTTATTTGACAGGAGGCTACTTGAAGATTTATTTACTACCCCTTGACCAGAGCACTTTAATTTTATAAAGTACCAACACATATTAACAATCATTGAAATCAGAGCCTCCTTTCCATGAAAAAAAAAAGAGAATCCGTTTTCTACATATATTTCTAATGGTTTTATAAATAGACGTCTGCAAAACTCTATTTTTTACAAAGACAAATTATACTTTTATACAAAACTTTTTCTACTCATGAAAAATCTGCCATTGAGAAGGAATAATACTAGATGAACTAATAAACGAATATGTCGAACACGCATAAATGAGAAAACCTGCGAAACATCATAGTGTATTAGGATAATGCTCTACATAACAAAGAAATGTATCGATTTTTATTTAATCAAAAAATTGTTTTCAATAGTAGGTTCCTTTATACTGCATAACATTTAAATGAGTGATTATAATCCTTTCTCTCTTATAATGTGTGTGTTTATGTCCTCTTTAGTGTCACAAGGTGCTACATCGAATACGAATTCGACTTTATAACGCAAGAAATCGTGTGTATAAATTATTTGTTATTGTAATGTAAATTAGGTATAGAAAAGTATATTTTACGTCGTTATATACATTACATCTATAAGAGGTACTGCGTTATATATGTACATGTAACAAAAAAAAAGATTATAGTTTTGTATATTAATAGACAGTAACTGTATAATAAATATTATTATTAATACATTTGGCAGATTTTTCAATTTTTATTCTCCATCATGCTGTAAAATATACAACAATTATATACAATAAACAGTTTAGGGTTCATTTTGCTGCAATTTATAGATATTTAAATAGTAAATGAATTATATAATAACATTTATTGCATGTCGTTAATCAATTAAATTTTCCTCATACATTTTTGGATAAAAATTTATGTCAAATTACAAAATTATGGATTTTGTTTTTTTATTAAGTAATACAATACATTATCAACATCCGTGTAAGTTTGCACATACGCATTGACTGTAAGCAATAAGAAATTGAAAAAATACTAGTATAAAGACTAGTGTAAATATCTTCAAAAATGTTTGAATTTGAGAAATTATTAGCTTGTATAATCTTCTGTTTTTCTAATTGTGTATCTTGAAATGTTCACAGATCTTTGACTTATCCAACAGTAATAGACAGTTGCGGATTTTTTCCTGAGATATTTATCGTCTTTGAGGACGGCTGATTTTTCGAATCTTTCCTTAAAGAGAGTGCCCTCGCTGTGACAGGTATATTCCCGGTTCTTGCACCTGATCCGCTCAGGTTACCACCTCCGCACATCTAATTATATAGGCGACAAATCGTTATGCTCATTTAAAATAATTCTTATATAGAATTTAAAATATATATAATTATTTTTTCTCGGATTCTATATGATAAAAGTTTTATACGATAGGGCGATTTCTGCGAGATTTATCTTTCGATATATCGATCAAATAAGATTTTTTATCGATTAAATGTCGAACTACTTAATTTTTCTCATATTAGATATAATAAAATGTTTTTTTTTTATATTTTGTAGCTCGTATTAGATAGAATAGAGATTTATGAATGTGCCCAAGATGAGTTCTTCGGTTTTGTAAATTATAATTAGAAAATATTGTACAAGATATATCAATTTTGTTAAAAATTAAAACATATATAGATTGAATTTTTTAGCCATTTGCACTATCGGTCGCGATTGAAAAAACTAATTTACTTCGACGTATAACGCAGGAAAAAAATTCACATGATTCTCTCACTTCTGATGTCACAATCTAACATAATTATAGAGAGCTTCAAGTATTATAACGAAAATAATGTTATTATAACCGGAGTATGACTTGGCGGCGCTGAATGGACAAGCCTTCCGGCGAGTGAGCTCGTTCTCTCCTTCCTCGCTCTCATCCACTCATGACCTAACACTCTCTCGAGAGTCAGCCTGAGGGTGATGTCTGGCTCGAGGATCTGCCGGACAATGCTTTTGGCCAACATGGACACGGTATCGCGGACGCGCGATCTGAACACCCAGTTGCGTGACATTTGATCCTTGAGAAGTTTCCGTAGATTCGCATCGTCGAACGGCATTCTGGCATTGAGCATGATGAAAAGGATGATACCAAGCGACCATACGTCCGCCAATTTCGGATTATACGGGGTGCCGGCGACGATCTCCGGCGCGGCGTATGCAGCCGAGCCACAGTAAGTGTGGCTGAGGACTCGCCTGCCCTCGGGGTTCACGCAGAACCTGGCAAAACCGAAGTCTGCCAGTTTCACATTGAACTTGCGCGAGAGTAATATGTTCTCGCACTTGAGGTCACGATGGGCGATGTTCTTGCTGTGTAGATAGTGCAAGCCGGATGCCATTTGACGAAACCATAGCCGCGATTGTTGTTCCGGCACTACGCCGTTGTTTGTCACAAAATCCAGCAGATCGCCATTATCGGCATAGCGCATGAAGATAAAGACGCGCGGGCCACGTTGCAGGATACTGTGCACCTGCGTCCGACCAGATTCAGTACGCGATTCAATATAGGCTGCTGATATATTAAGCAAAATTGGGCAAAACATGATCAAAATATGCACAAAACACTTTTCGTTGCTGAGTGTTAAGATTTCTTTTTAAACACAATTTTATTATGATTTTTCAATGAAGATTCTAGAAAAAAGGAATTAGTTATGAAATTAGATTTATCATTGTAATGAAATTTTAAATTAATTATGTTGCGTAGAGAAATTATAAAAATTGATTTTGATCACATGACAATATTTAGAGATTTTGTTAATATGTCACTGTATAAACACAATTTTATTATGATTTTTCAATAAAGATTCTAGAAAAAAGGAATTAGTTATGAAATTAGATTTATCATTGTAATGAAATTTTAAATTAATTATGTTGCGTAGAGAAATTAAAATTTGATTTTGATCACATGACAATATTTAGAGATTTTGTTAATATGTCACTGTAAAGTAACGCAAATATGGAAAATGGCGCTGCATATTCAAAAGTTATTTGCTGAATAAACGAATTTCGATTTTTTCGTTAGTCGATTTTGAAAGGAAAAAAAATTAATAAAGTGTAAGCGTTTCCGCCGGAAACCATTATTCCTTCTTTGTCAATCAGACAGAAAAAGTGAATTAAAGCGCATTTTCCTGTTGTGTTTTACTTGAATAATATGCGGATTTTCTATCTTTGTTAAAATCTCGAGTTCGCGGGGAAAGAACTTGTCCAAGAAATCGTGCGGCGCCTTCTCCTTGTCAAAGATCTTACAGGCCAGACGCATCTTCTTGGAATTTGTTCCATCGATATACTCTGCCAAGTGGACGGTCGCATAACAACCCTAAAAATGTTTTTAATTCTTATAACGCGTAAGAAATTGATTTTTAGTCGTAACACATAAACTGATTTTGACAATCGACCGATTGATATAAGGAATGTGTTAAACGATACATAATTTTTAAACACAATTTTATTATGATTTTTCAATGAAGATTCTAGAAAAAAGGAATTAGTTATGAAATTAGATTTATCATTGTAATGAAATTTTAAATTAATTATGTTGCGTAGAGAAATTAAAATTTGATTTTGATCACATGACAATATTTAGAGATTTTGTTAATATGTCACTGTAAAGTAACGCAAATATGGAAAATGGCGCTGCATATTCAAAAGTTATTTGCTGAATAAACGAATTTCGATTTTTTCGTTAGTCGATTTTGAAAGGAAAAAAAATTAATAAAGTGTAAGCGTTTCCGCCGGAAACCATTATTCCTTCTTTGTCAATCAGACAGAAAAAGTGAATTAAAGCGCATTTTCCTGTTGTGTTTTACTTGAATAATATGCGGATTTTCTATCTTTGTTAAAATCTCGAGTTCGCGGGGAAAGAACTTGTCCAAGAAATCGTGCGGCGCCTTCTCCTTGTCAAAGATCTTACAGGCCAGACGCATCTTCTTGGAATTTGTTCCATCGATATACTCTGCCAAGTGGACGGTCGCATAACAACCCTAAAAATGTTTTTAATTCTTATGACGCGTAAGAAATTGATTTTTAGTCGTAACATAAACTGATTTTGACAATCGACCGATTGATATAAGGAATGTGTTAAACGATACATAATAATTTCTCAAACAGCAAAAAGTTAAAGACTTCATTTAAATTGAAAATGTCTTTGCCTTAAAAAACGAGAAATTAGAAATAGTATTGCTGCGGAAGTAGACGGGAGAAAGCGCGCAAAGTTAAATTAAACAAACAGACGAATATAGAGAAGAATAAACAACCTGTCCGATTTTTTTGCCGATGAGATAGCCCCGCTGCTCGAGAGCGTTCACCTCCGAGTTTCGGGTGCCGAGTCGCGTGGCCATGCCAAGTGATTCTTCATCGACCCTTCATCACTGACCCCCCTCTCGAGGACGGGCAGTTGATTGAGCAGTCTTCCTGCGTGTTGTGTGCGTATATATCCACGGGAGACGCTTCACTAAAATTCACCAAGAGAATTTCTTGATACGCTCTAGTCTCGTTTCTTCGCACGCTATTCTTCGGCTGCTGGCACTAGCAGGTTTCGTTGACACGATTTCTGTCCTGAAGCGACACCGAGCACCTCGACGTATCTCGCTGCTACATCGATGCGTCCGACAACAAAGCGGATCTGTTCGGTCATTTGAGAAAGAGAGAGAGAGAGAGAGGCGGTTGTGCGAGCACTAGAATTTTGGACAAGCCCGGGACCAGCTTGCGCTTGGTATGCGACGAGAGGAAGGTAGAGATCCGCGTTTCATTCGAGCGCAGCCATTATACTTGGAACAATGAAAACAATCGACGCGCATACACGCGAGATCGATTCTATGCAATTTTGGATAGCTTCTCTCGCTGTGCGAACCAACTTCTGGATAATATTACCATCGATTATCCCTGATTGCTTCTCTCTTTCTCGTTACAGAATAGGAATACATTGAGTGTTTTTATCAGCTGTTTTTCTTACTACTAATAATTAAATTATTAATAATAAATAATAGTAAATAATTTTATCGCGTATTATATACACATTATCTGCAGTTTTATAATTTTGTTTGATTATACCATATATTCCTTTACGTAATATCTACACTATAAATTCACTTTTAAAAATTATGAATGTTTTTTAAAAAATCTAGAAGGTTTGATAAATTTATCCTTAGTTTTAATTTCTAATTGCCCATTAATTAATTGTGATTCTATATTTATATTCCACATAAAAGAATGGTAAATAAGGAGGTAAATAAGAAATAAGAAAAAGAAAATGGATGAGTTGAGAGAAAAGCACTGGATAACAAAATATTAAAAATAGAGGTATATGCATACATGTGTATTATTGATTAAAAAAAAAATTTGCATGCATTATACAAAAATATTTTAATTCATAATTCTATAAATTGACGAAAAATGTATCTAGAATGACACAATTTTGAATTATATAATAAATTCCATATTTTACTCACATCAGAAAGTCCATTCCAACAAAGCTTATTGTATATAAATTATAAATTATAATATACCATAAACAAACATCACTTTTATCTATGTATTAGTAGCTACGCCCGAAAAGTGTATAAAACTTTGCTTTGTTTTTGCAACTATGATGAATACATTTTAGCTCATCTAGTGGTTTTGTCAATTTTGGCTGTTCAAATGGTATACAAAGACTTTTGGCGCCCATTGATAATGCTCCAAGTTCATCACCGCTATCCTCTCTGTAATTATTCATGATTGTTTGAACCAAATATTTAAAAAATGAGTAAAAAAGGAAAAGGTTGGTTAAAAAAAATATTAATATTCTATATTAATATTATACATAATATATATATAATAATATAATATATATTATATATATTACATACATATAATATATAACTGTACAGACATTAATATTCTATACTTTAAATTATCAACAAAAAAAAATTTGCGATATATTAATAAATGATCAATAATCAATGTGTGGCATTTAAAATAATTTTGGAATAATTTGTAAAAACGCACATAAAAAAATGATTTTTTTTTTTTACATATAAAATAATATTACCTCGCGCTATCCGCTTTAATGTTATCTTCACACGTCGGCTCGCCGCAAAAAGGTGATAATAATAAATTCTTTTTATTGAGCTCGGTACAGAAATCGCTCCAATTTTCCACTTGCTTGATATGCGCAATGAGATTCTCTCTAGCTCTATGAAATAGTAAATAAAAACTATAAATTCAATAATAACACCAATAGCTTCAAAGTACTAATAATTAAGTGGGAAAACTGGCAAATAAGAGTCAAGGTGCGGATATTGGTGCGCGAACTTTTTGTTTTATCAATAATCAGAAAGAAAATCAGTTTCCTTTCTGATTATTGATTTTAATTTAAAATTTAACTGCAACAACAAATATTGTGTATGTCAAGTTTTAAAATACCAATGTAATCTTTATATATTTATATCTATGCTGAAGATGGACCAAAAAACGTCCGAAATTTACATTTTTAATGTATATTTTTAATACACATTTATTACAAAAATTTAACAATAAAAAATTCGCGATACCCGCGCCTTGACTCTTATTTGCCAATTTTCTCACTTAAAAAACCGTAAGTTATCAACCAAACTATTATAACAAGTGCATTATTGTATAAAACAATTTTCAGCGATATTTACCTCGACAACAACTGTGCTTGTATATCTTTTAACAAGCAATCTAATGATGTAGCTACCATGTCTCTCTTGACAGTTGTTCTTTGTAAGTTATCCCTTCGTACGAATGTTACTTGATTCTTCTCCATATCTTTCGGGCCTAATTCGATTCTCACTGGTACGCCTTTTAGCTCCCAGTGGTTGAACTTCCATCCGGGCGTTCGATTATTTCTAAAATCACCTTTCACTCTAAATTTGCCGTCTTTACTTAATTCATCGACTAACTTGACGCATTCGCCTTGAAGTAACTCTCTCTTTATCATAGGCATATTTGCAGTTATGCCACAAGGAATAACAATACCTTGTATAGATGCTACACACGGTGGTAACACTAAACCTTTATCGTCTCCGTGTACCTGTAAATAAATATAAAGCATAAATATATTCGCGTTACACATATAGGCAGACAGAACAATATACAAAGAGTAAATGTGTAATTTACATATATTTACACATGTGTAATATAACAATAATAATTTTACCAACCATTATCATGACTCCGATTGTCCGTGTAGTTAAACCCCAAGAATTCTGATAGACAAATGTCTTTTCGTCTCCTTCCGCGATACCTTCCATTTGAATGTTAAACATCTTGGAAAAGTTTTGCCCCAGATGGTGACTCGTTGCTCCCTGTATCGCACGACCGCTGGTCGAAATAAATGCCTCGACGGTAGTCGTGTAATCGCCTCCCGCAAATTTCTCCTTTTCAGTTTTGCGGCCTTTAATAACAGGGACGGCTAATAAATCCTCGTAAACTTTGGCATATATGTCTAAGATAATCAATACTTCCTCCTCCGCTTCTGCCTTTGTAGCAAATACGGTATGACCCTCTTGCCACAAAAATTCTCTGGTGCGTAAGAAAGGTTTGGGATCTTTAAATTCCCATCTCTGTAAATGTGAAAATAAAACAATTGGAATACAAAATCATCTAGAATAAGATATTGTATCAATAATGATAATGGTCGTACCACAACGTTATTCCATTGATTGAGCTTGAGCGGTAACTCGGTGTCCGATCTCAGCCATTTGGCGTAAGCTGGATACATGACAGTTTCCGAAGTCGGTCGTATAGCTATAGGCTCTGCCAAATCCGATTCGCCGCATTTTGTCACCCATGCGACTTCCGGCGCGAAATCCGCTATATGCGTCTTCTCTTTCTCTAACACGCCACGAGTAACGAAGATCGGGAAGTAGCATTCTTGAACACCGAGCGCCGTTATCTCTTTGTCGATGTACTCTTTTATTACCTTCCAAATTGCAAAAGTCCACGGACGAAGAATGTAACATCCGGATACGTCATAATATTCAATCATACCACTTTTTGTGATAACTTGCGAGTACCAGTCGAAAAAATTTTCTTCCTTCTTCGCTTCCAATCCTAATCTCGTGCCCGTTTTACCTGCATCTATATCCTTATTGGTCACGCTTTTCGCATTTTCTTTCTGCAACATTTTTCCAGATTTAGAAGCGTCCTCCTCTTTCTTTTTCGATGCTACTTCCAAATTCGAGACAGACTTCAACTCTTGACCAGTTGCATTTGTACGCGCCTATGAAAGAAAAGATAATAAATGCCGATAAGTTGGACAGGTTTCCGATAATTGAGATATTTAACTAGAGCCGCGCTGGCATCGAAAACAGGGATTAAAGAGTAGGAGGAGTTAGTGAAAACGGCAGAAGGAGTAGAGAGCGAAAGCGAAGCAGTTGTGCGAATTATAAAGCGATAGCGAGGTCGAGTATATTCTGTTATTGAATTATTGAGTCAAGTGTCTTTTTTTTTTAATAAACGTATTATTTTGAGTACCAACGATTTGGAAATATGAACAGAGTTTATATTTTACATATTCACTGTAAAAAAGCCTACACATTTTTATAATCACTTTTCAAGCTCAAAAAAATTTTAATTTCTCGATCGATGATGCTCTTGTCGGCTTTCGAGTTCTTTAAATTTCGCACTTTATCGCCTTGCTTTTTTATTTCTTCAGATATTTCTACTTACCTCTTTAAAAGTTTCCTTGCTCGCTGTATCACTACTACCAGCTGTAGTAATTTGAGATGGTTTCCACTCTTGACCAGTTGCATTTTTATAATCGTTTTTCAAGCTCAACAGAATTTTCACTTCTCGATCGATGATGCTCTTGTCGGCTTTCGAGCTCTTTAAACTGCGCACTTTATCGCCTTGCTTTTTTATTTCTTCAGATATTTCTGCCTCTTTAAAAGTTTCCTTGCTCGCTGTATCACTACTAGCAGCTGTAGTAATTTGAGATGGTTTCCAATCTTGACCAGTTGCATTTTTATAATCGGTTTTTAAGCTTAACAGAATTTTCCCTTCTCGATCGATGATGCTCTTGTCGGCTTTCGAGCTCTTTAAATTTCGCACTTTATCGCCTTGCTTTTTTATTTCTTCAGATATTTCTACCTCTTTGAAAGTTTCCTTGCTCGCTGTATCACTACTAGCAGCTGTAATAATTTGAGATGGTTTCCAATCTTGACCAGTTGCATTTTTATAATCGGTTTTTAAGCTCAACAGAATTTTCACTTCTCGATCGATGATGCTCTTGTCGGCTTTCGAGCTCTTTAAACTTCGCACTTTATCGCCTTGCTTTTTTATTTCTTCAGATATTTCTACCTCTTTAAAAGTTTCCTTGCTCGCTGTATCACTACTAGCAGCTGTAGTAATTTGAGATGGTTTCCAATCTTGACCAGTTGCATTTTTATAATCGATTTTTAAGCTCAACAAAATTTTCACTTCTCGATCGATGATGCTCTTGTCGGCTTTCGAGCCCTTTAAATTTCGCACTTTATCGCCTTGCTTCTTTATTTGTTCAGATATTTCTATCTCTTTTCCTTTACTTGTTACATTATTAGTAACAATATTGGTAGCTGCATTCTCCTTCTCTTTCTCTCTTTGAGATGATTTCCAATCGTGACCAGTCACCATTTTATATTCTTCTTTCAAATTTGAAAGGTTTTTTGTTTCTCGATCAATAATGTTTTCTAAAACTCGCAAGTGATCCTGCATTTTTTTAGACATTTCTTTTGTTTTTGAAATTTTCTTCGTCTTTGTATTACTAACAGGATCGCCAGCTGTAATTTCAGTTTGTTTTCCTTCCCGATCAATGGCATTTTGACAGTCGTTTGTCAAGCTTAGGAGAGCTTTCATTTCCTGGTCGATAATGCTCTTGTCGACTTTTGAATTCATTAGGTTTTGCATTGTAATGATTTGTTTATTTAGTTGTTCTAATATTACTTTGCTTTTTGCATCACTAACAATATCAGTATCTGTGATTTGAATTAACTCCCAATCTTGTCCAGTTATTTCTTTATAAGCGCTCTTTAGCTGTCTCATTTTGTTCTCTTGGTACTGTATTGTATCAAATAAAAGGCTCTCCGTCTTATTGACGCCTTGCTCACAGTCTTTTAAGTTTTGTTGTAGTGGTAAATTTACTCCTTCAGTAAATTTTTTTTCGTCAGAATTCGGACCTAATTTTCTAAATTTAGCTTTCTCATTTTCCACAGTTGTTTCATTCGCTCTCTTGCGTTGTATATTATCTCTCTAAAACAATTTTTAATTTAATTTTAATTTTATTCGCGTTTATGCTTTGTTTTTTACAACTAAATTTCTTTAAAATGAAAAAATATATTTACTTAATTTTAATAAGTTTAATACTAAGCTACTCTGGGAGTAACATTGCATCAAATATGATTATAAATGATATCTTATAGCTGCAAAAGAATTATATCTTTTTTTTATGTTTATAAACTATACGTTCTGTAAATAATTAGATATTAGTTGATTGAGAAAAAATTTATTTTTGAGAGAATATTTTTCGTACCATTTGGTTGTGTGATACAACAGGCGTAATAGAAGGCGTTGTCGTGTGTCCATCGGGTATATGGAACAATATAACAGGTTGTTCGCGCAATGAATAAGGACTTATAGGTGCATATGGAACATCACAAATAAAGAAGCCCTTTCTCTGAAGCTGAATTATCTCTCCCTTCTTTACACGTTTCATTTCTGCTTCACCCCACATTTTAACCTCTTTCTAGAAATAAAAATTTCATGATACAATTGGTGAAATATAACATATAATTTGCAACATAATTTGTGTAAGTAGATAAATCTTTGATATATTACCCTTGTATCCTTGGCAACAAAGTTTTTAAAATCGTCATCTTTGCCCAAAACCGGTATATTCAGGATATGATCAAAGTAAACAGCGTAACAACTTATTGGATTTGACTGTGGTTTATTTTCTTGAGTGTCTTCATATTTGTCCAATGGTGCAGCTATCCATGTAATCTTCAATGTTTTTTTGTAATTTTTGTCCGTCAGATTTAACCGTGCCTTCACGTCTATAATATTACCAGACTGGTCTGTGTGTATCTCTTCTATCATTAAATTACCCCAATTGATGAAGGTTGCATTCTGTCCCACAACTAATACTTCGGCGTCATCTCTTTCTATCAATATTTTAGGACTTATTCGCACTTGTTTGGTACCTTTGGAGGGATCTTTAGGGTGATTTTGCACGTCCAACCACCCTTCCCTAGCATCTACTATATTAATTGTTACCAATTTCTTGTAATCTAGTGCAGTATACCTGAAATTATAAATATATGCTGAAAAAATTATATCTCTGACTATACTATTACATCATATGTTGGATTTTTTTTATTTAACAGCATTTAAAATACCTGACAGCAATCGGATCGATGACTTTCTTGTTGAAAGCCCATATCTTGTCCCATTCCATGAAGACTACAGATTTAGAGCTACCTTGCGCAATGATAAATTGTTTCAAACCTTCGACTGTCATTCCTCGTCTCAGAATACCTCTCACAGTCGGCATACGCGGATCATTCCATCCGTCGACTAAACCTTCGTTTACAAACCACGTTAACTTCCGTTTCGATAATACCGTACAAGTCATATTTAAACGCGAGTATTCCCATATATACGGACGACGCAGTCCTAAGGCGTCGATTATCCAATAAAATTGAGCATCTCTGTCATGATATTCTGTTGTACGCAGAGTGTGAGTAACATTCTCAACAACATCGACAATTGGACAGGCAAAATCATAAGTAGGATATACCCTAGTAGAAATAATTTAGATTTATATATATATATATA